CAGCTTTTAAATTTATAACGTTTAATAACGCCAAGGAAAAGCCTTCATCTTTTTAATTTATAATAATTTATATCGGACTAAATAAGTTTAGGAAACCGAAATTTGGGTTTACCTTTACGTCACTCATATCTGATATGTTAAACCATTTGACCTCAAAGGGTTAATGTTACTTTCAAAAAAATGAAAATACTTATTAAATGTCATAGCTAATACTGAAATTTTTAATAATAATATTATTTTTTGATTCTGTTTTAGGGTCAAAGGGATTTTAATAAGGTTATATTTGTAAACAGGGACCGTCTAGTTTTTTTCAATTGATTGCCAAATTCGGGTTGTAAATTAAAAATCACATGATAAATTTAAAATACTACCCGAGCTTTAGACGATCCCTACCCCAAATTCAAATTCAGCTTTTCTCTCGTCATTCAAATTTAACGTTTATTATAAAATATTGCATATATTATGCATAAGCATTACGAAATACATCACAAAATACGTTAGAACGACATTACATCACTGCGCTCAGCAAAGTTATGGCGGTATAAATTACACGTTTTAGGTCAGACATTATCTATAGCAAAACAAGCAAGTAATACTATCGCTATGTCTGTAAGATAAAAAAAAGATTATCGAACATTTGAGTGTAACAGTAGTAACAATATTAAAAAGAAATTTTTAATTTTAGCCAATCAGATTTTTTTGGATCAGCCAATAAAAACAACCTTCTTTAGCTTTGAACATTAAGTGTCCTCCGCTACACTCCGGATCACATTTGTCCGTTAATTTTCCAGAAAAAATTTTTCAAGACGATATTTTTCCTGATTTCTGACAAAAAAAATATCAATCTTGCACCGATACTTGTTAGAGAATGTAAGAATACATTCAATAATCATTGTGATAATAATAAAAATGATGAATCAAATATAAATCATACATTGTTTAATTTATTCGATTGATCAAAGGAATTTCAAGTTTTGACTAAATAAAAATTTTTACATTCATTAAATTTAAAACTAATCTGTTAATTGTTTGCGTACAGTGCCTGACTCAGTAGAATTTATATACTAGCTGTCATCATCATTATTTGGAAAACTTGTTAGGACCAAAAAAATGGTAGAAATTCATAGTGAATCTGAAGAGGTGCTTATCTAAAGAAAAAAAAAAATTTTAATACAATCATGTGATTCAAATCACTTATGATGCTTATTTTTTTAGACAAGTTTTAACAACATTCGTAGAAGAAACATTTCTACTCGTAATTCTGAAAGGTTTCATGAGATAGAAACTATCAAATGGGACCAAAATGAAGATTTTAATATTTATACAAAGAGATTTTACGAGCTTGCTGACGTTGCCGGACTGGATGATGAACCTGAGCAACGTCAAGTAGAATTATTTTTGCAATCTCTTCCACCCAGTCTCGTCAATATTATTCAAACACAAATTAAAAATTTTCAAGTTTTTCGTCAAGAATTTCAACCTACTTTAAAGCAAGTAGTTCAGATTGCTACAAACCATGTTGACGAACTTAGAAATAAATCAATCCATGATGACGAAATTAGAAATAAATCAAATAAATCTTTATCTAAATCACTTTGGTCGTTATATGAAGTTTTTCTCAATTATGAGAAAATAGAACGCCGTTATATTATCTGGCCAATTTTAATCTTCTTACTAGCGAGTTTGATTTTTGCTCCATATATGCTTTCCGGAAATCCAGAGGACTCTGTTTTTCGAGATTTTGCAAAATCAACTTAAGATATGGTCTCAAAAATCAACTCTGCCGATCTTCCAGGTAAATATTATTAATATAAATATATTAATTATAAATTAAAATTTATATACGTTCTTTTATAGGGTCAAACGAAATCATGAAACACACTGTAGATTGTAAAATAACAGCGAATTTAATTGAAAGAGATCCAGCTTTTAAAAATTCCGGTCCCATAATTGCTACTAAGCTTCGAAAGTTTGGTGAAAGTGTTATGGAAGCAGGAAATGATTTACATGTAATGTATCGTAAAGGATCCTACGTCTTTGAAACATTTAAAATTGAAATCCAAACTATGATGGATAAACTTGATGTTCAAGAACCTAATAAAAGCGACTTCTTTAAAGAAAGAATTAAGAAAATGATTTTAGTGGTTCAAGATTTTAGTGATAAAGTTAAAAAAGCAAAAGATTCTATTATAGATGCAGAGAATAACCGAGATGGTCTTGAAAAAGAACTTGTTGGTGGAATTAGGGAAGCAGAA